GGTGGGGAATGGCACAAAGCAGGTGCTGATTTCCAGAATAAATCCCMAAAAATGTTGCGGTGCTTCCTCTGGAGCCACACAACCCCATCTCCCCTCTCCCTGAGCCAGGGAGTTCCCCCAGAGCCCGTTGGGGATTGCTCCATGCCCARCACTTTCAGAGATGTGCTCTGAGCTTTCCCTGCTCTCAAGCTTTACGTGCTGCCCTCACCACACACTTCAGACCCTTTCCAACCTTTTCAATCTCATCACAGAATCCTGGAATGGTTTGGGTTGGAAGGGACCTTGAATCCCATCCAGTGCCATGGGCAGGGGCACCTTCCACCATCCCAGGGTGCTCCACACCCCACCCAGTCTGGTGTTGAAGCCAAATTTCTCCAAAGCCGATCACAACAAAGCTCAAATTTCTCCTTTCTGCCCAGCAGAGCTGCAGGTGCTCACACACCGGGACAGAGCAGGGAACAGGATCCAAACAAAATTTACCAAAGGGACGAGCAGGGCGAGATGCCCCATCCGAGGACATGGCAGAGCTGGAAGCAGAGGCAATCTCCCCTAAACAGCTTTTTAGGATGAGAGGGTGAGACAGGGATAAAGGGGAAGGAAGGAAATACGCACGMAAATAAAGAGGATCTGAGTCCAGCCCCAGGCATCCTTCTGCTGGCACGAGAGCCCCACTGCCCGTGCAGCAGCTGGGRACGAGGGTCGTGCCAAGATTCTCCAGTCCCTGCTCATTTCTGCTGCCAGACCTTCCTCAGACACACCACTGACACAGCACGATTGTCTTTCCTCATCCCTCCCCTTCTCCGAAGTGTTCCTGCTCCGTTCCCCTGCCCACCGAGCCTTTCCCACCCCATCTGTCCTGGATTCTTGGTGGGCAGTGCTGGTCCTGGGAGTGGACAGAGCACTGGTTTGGGGAGTGGACAGCAGCACTGGTTTTGGGAGTGGACAGCAGTGCCAATCCCGGGAGTGGACAACAGCACTGGTTCTGGAAATGGACAGAGCACTGGTTTGGGGAGTGGACAGCAGCACTGGTCCCTGAAGTGGACAGCAGCACTGGTTTGGGGAGTGGACAGAGCACTGGTTTTCGGAGTGGACAGCAGCACTGGTTTGGGGAGTGGGCCGCAGTGCTGGTTTTGGGAGTGGACAGCAGCACTGGTTTTGGGAGTGGACAGCAGCACTGGTTTTGGGAGTGGACAGCAGCACCGGTCCTGGGAGTGGACAGCAGCACTGGTTT